AAATAATCATCTATCATAACAACATAGGCTCAAACCAAGGAAAAATAGAGAAACACAAAACACAGAGATAAAATCTCTGTGACTTTGATGTTGAAAGTTGAATGCTTTCATTTCCATTTCCATTGAAGAAAGAAAATCTGATCAGAGAGATTTGGGATATCTTCTGGTGCTGATGGTGGTCATGTCGGTTTAGTCAGGTAATCATTTTGTTCTTTTTCTTCCATATGAACTTTACTTCTTTTTGTTTTCTGTTTCTCAATTAAATTTTTCTTTTTTCTTCATCTTATTCTTCTTAATAATAATAAACAAATAATATCATAGCTTCACTGCAAATTTAAAATTCCAATCTCTGTATTTGCAATTATTTACGATCCATGCTTTGCTTCAATCTTATATTTTTGATACTATTTTTGGTGTAATTACCTCAACCTGCTATAAGCCAAATTTCTTATCATTAGATCTTGGAGGGCGACATGGCTTAAGAAATGAGTATCAAATTTATCAAATTAACTCTTTTTGTTTGATTAGTTGCCTTCATCAAATTCGGATTATGTTTTTATTTATCTCAACTTTATACGATCGATGATGAGTTCTTATGTTTTCTAGAAAAAGTTATAACATGAACAAATATGGAACCTTCTCTAGTTTTTGCTATCAACCGTTCTCTTTGTCTATCAATTCCTTCCATAATATTACTAAATCCAGCTGGTTTTTCTGCCCTCCTTTTGGCTTGGTTGAGCAAGGGTAAGACGCACAGTAATCCCATAGGTCCAATATTTATATTCCTTGTTCATTTCTGGAATCGTTTTGGTGTAGCTGAGGAGTGAATGCAAAACTATCACTTTCTACCTAAATCTTCTTTTAGCTGTTGCAGCCAAAAGAAAGAAACCCAATATGTAATGTTTGAATCTTATGTCTTTTTGTTTTAGCAATGAGGCTCAACAATTGGGAATTGCCCTCTGTTGAGCTGAGATTCTAATCTCTACATAGTTTGACTCTTCAGTTCAAAGATTACATCTTTGCAACTAATTTGAGAGCAAACTGCAATTTTGCTTTCTAAAGATATTTCTTGCTGTGTCATTTTAGAGTTATTGGGGGCCTCTCTTTGTTGCCATCATGTGTTGTCTTTGTTGTTGATCTGTCAGGGATTCGACCATCTTCTTTCACAATGAACTGAAATCTGCCCAGGTTTTAGAATTGTCATGGCTGGTATTGATGATAATGTTGCTATTATTGGAGACTGGATACCTCCTACTCCCAGCCCAAGAACATTTTTTGCAGCTATGTTAGGTGATGATATTGGCTCAAAACCAGTCTTGGAAACTCATGGGGAAAATAAAACTGAGGGACTCTTTCTGGGATCTCAAGGGATAATGACAGCAGAGAGTAATGACAATAAGGATGCTCACCAAGGTCATGAACAATTGAAAGAATTTGGGTCGATTTCTGAGCAAAAATCAAGTTCACGGGGAGGTCTGGTGGAAAGGATGGCAGCCAGAGCTGGATTTAATGCTCCCAGATTGAATACTGAAAGCATCAGGTCTGCTGACCTTTCACTTAACCCTGAAATTTGTTCTCCTTACTTGACAATACCTCCTGGTCTCAGCCCAACAACACTGCTAGAATCTCCAGTTTTCGTCTCAAATTCGTTGGTAAGTTTACTAACTGGAAAGTTTTGGTACCATCTAGTTGTAGTTCTTTCTTCTTGGAACTAGTATAGATGGTATCAACAATCAAAGGTGGAGGTCATGAGGGTCAAGGAAGTCCATACTCCAATCAGGAGTTGAAGGAATTATAATTAAAATAAGATTGAGGACTATCGTCCTGCACTACAAGTTACTTGCCAAAACAAATTCTTTTAGAATTTAATTACCATTGAAAGCATTTATACTCGGATCATTGATCTAATAGTTATAAATTACTTTCTTTAATTAATACCTTCCTTTTGTTTATTGAGTTCTGTTGCATACAAATATCTCAATGTGTATCACTGCAGGCACAGCCATCTCCGACTACTGGAAAATTCCCTTTTATTCCTAATGGTAATGGTCGGAGTTCTATTTCAGAGCCCTCTGATAGAAGCAAAGATAACTATTTTGAGGACATCAATGCATCATCATTTGCATTCAAGCCTTTTGCAGAATCAAATTCCTCTTTTCTCCTTGGTGCAATGAGCAAAGTAAGTCTGCTGTGGGAATTTGTTTTTGGACAACTAGACTAAGAAAAAAAAGGGAAAAAGATTTAAATGAATAAAAATGTCTTCCTTCAGAATGCACAATGTTATTCATGTTTGTTCCCACTTTTGTTATTAGTCAAATTCTAAATACTCAAAATTACTAAACTAAATTAGAACTTGAAATGGAGTGAGTATTAATATTAGTTTACCATCTCTATCAAATGCAAATGGGTAGACCAGATTTTATAACCATTAAACTTTCCTCCTAATTGCAGATTACTCCAGCCAGTGTTCCTCAGCAGTCATTTCCAAATATTGAGGTTTCGGTTCAGTCTGAAAATCCTCTTCCATCTCAAAATGTAGACCCAGGGAAGGTCCACTCTCAGAACAGCAACAGGCCCACCCTTCAGGCAGATTTCTCTAGATCATCAACTGAAAAAGATACTGGGAGTAACAACTCTGCAGATCATATGGTCTTTGATCCTGTTGGTGGGACTGCTGAAAATTCACCGCCTCTTGATGAGCCGCAGGATGAAGAAGGAGATCAAAGAGGCATTGGAGATTGCATGGCTGGTGGTGTTGGCGGTGCACCATCTGATGATGGATATAATTGGAGAAAATATGGACAAAAACAAGTAAAAGGCAGTGAGTATCCTCGTAGTTATTACAAGTGCACACATCCAAATTGTCAGGTTAAGAAGAAAGTGGAACGTTCTCATGAAGGTCACATAACAGAGATCATATACAAGGGAGCTCACAACCATCCCAAGCCTCCGCCCAATCGCCGATCAGCCATTGGATCATCCAACCCACTAACTGACATGCAACTAGAAGTCCCTGAACAACCTGGCCCTCAGAATGGTACTGATGGTGATCCTGTTTGGGCAACTGCACAGAAGGGAACAGTTGCTGCTACTCATGATTGGAGGCATGACAGCATTGAGGTGACATCATCTGCACCTGTAGGTCCTGAGTATGGCAATGGGCAGGCCCCAAATGGCACTCACTTTGAGTCAGGTGATGCAGTGGATGCCTCTTCTACCTTCTCTAATGATGAAGATGAAGATGATCGGGGGACACATGGCAGTGTCTCATTAGGTTATGATGGTGAAGGAGATGAATCTGAGTCAAAGAGAAGGTTTATATCTGACAAAATGTTTGAATAGTGTTGCTATTTAGATCACCATGTGAATGTTCTCATTTTTTGTACCAGGAAAATTGAAGCTTATGCACCAGAAATGAGTGGAGCCACACGAGCTATTCGTGAGCCTAGGGTTGTGGTCCAGACGACCAGTGAGGTGGATATTCTAGACGATGGATATCGGTGGCGCAAGTATGGCCAGAAAGTAGTGAAAGGAAATCCAAATCCAAGGTTTTGGCCTTAAATCAATCAATGTTTTATTGTCTATGTTCTCTCGCTTTTACTCTTTCATGCATAGAGCTGTTTTCTGCTATTGGTGGCCAAAATAAAGCAGAACATCATTTGCTACTGTTTTAATGCAGGAGTTATTACAAATGCACTAGTGCAGGCTGCACGGTGAGGAAGCATGTGGAGAGGGCATCACATGACCTCAAGTCAGTAATTACTACCTATGAAGGAAAGCACAACCATGATGTTCCTGCTGCTCGTAGTAGCAGTCATGTCAATTCTGCTACCTCTAGCACAGTAACTGCCCAAGGTGCTTCCTCTGTCCAAACTCATGTCCACAGGCCGGAGCCCTCACAACTTCACAACAGCATGGTTAGACCTGCATCATTTGGTCCATTTACCCTGCCTGGAAGGCAGCAGCTGGGGCCTTCTCCTGGCTTCTCCTTTGGAATGAATCAACCAGGCCTGGCAAATTTGGCTATGGCTGGGTTGGGTCCTGGCCAAGCTAAGCTGCCGGTTCTGCCTGTTCATCCATTTGTGCCTCAGCAACGCCAGATGAATGAAATGGGTTTCATGCTGCCAAAAGGAGAACCAAAGATGGAGCCAATGTCTGAACCTGGATTGAATCTATCAAACAACTCAACAGTATACCAGCAAATTATGAGTAGGCTGCCTCAGATGTAAATTTTCTGTTTTTTACTCCCTTAAAAATTTATCTTTCAGCTGTTCTGAGAAAAACAGAAGCATTTATGTTTCAAATATATAAATGAGCATTTCATCAGTGCTCGATCTTCCTTGTTATTCTATTGATTTTTGGTGACATGAACATAAGTTGAAATTGTTATGAGAGATTATGTTTCGAATATATAAATGAGCATCTCATCAGTGCTCGGTCTTCCTAGTTATTCTTTTAATTTTTATTGGCTTGAACTTAAGTTGATATTGTTATGAGAGAGACTATACCTTTGATTTCTACTTGCACCGACTAGATGGAACGGTATAATACCAAAATAGGAACTGCAACACTAGATTGTTGGTACTTGAGTTGAACACGGTGGAAAACCATGCCAAGAGAAGGATGCTCTTGTAAATATGTTTCATTAAGTAGCTGTTCTGATTGGCGTAACAACTGACAAATGATACCCTTTTGTTGCAAAGTTGGAGTGTATTTTGGGCTAATTTTTAATCCCTTGGTTCCCATTGAACAGAGAAGAGGAGACAAGACGGAAACCACGTTGTCAGTTGTAACCAGCCAACAGTGCATTAATGAAAACAAATATATAACCAAGACCAACATTTATGAGCATTTCAAGTAATCATCTTACAAATCAATTGTATCACAAAATTTCTTACAATTAAGTTCATCAAATGATGAATATAATTGAGCCAAGCTCTATCCATCTGATTCCACTTCAATGACCACACCATTTGCTTCTCTGATATTGGAAAAAGAGAAACAAAAAAAATGATTTGCCTACTGATTTGCACTATCTTTTTCCTCTAATATATATATAACTGTAAAAGTGCATGTACAAGGCATTTTTCTCTAAATTACATCAAGAATCCTAAGGTATATCAGCTCAGCAGAAGCTGTAGTAATCCTATATGGAGTAATCCCGACTCAAAGCGTGACTCGGAGTCCCAATTCTAAAGTAGGCGTAACCAACTTCCTTGGTCTCTCTTCTAAGTTGCAGTATGTAGCAGCAGGCCGAGGAGCTAAAAATTTGACAATCAGCAGCTTCGCTGCATTAATGGCCATTTGCCATCTCCTCCAGATTGTTCTCTTTCCTATGCTGATAGACTGATTTCCTATGATTTATCTCCTCTCTGCATGGACAACAAAAAGCATCAAATCATAACTAATAAGAAGATTGCATAAAAATCAATCAGACACCAAAACCACAAACCCCCAGTAGAATCTAGAATAGTAGACCTAATAAGGATACCATCTACTGGAAAAGAAAGAGGGATATACTATCATATAACAACATATTGAAACATGAATAAGGAACCTGAGACAGTTCGAAATTGATTCGTAATGAAGAACAGCAACAATTCTTCGCTTCCTTCCCTTGTGGGGTTCTCCCCCATGTTTCACCACTGGCAATTGCTTTATCCCCTTGGCCTCCATCAACTTCCTGGCGATTGCCAAGTCCGTATCTGGATAACAGGTTAAAAGTCCACGCTCTTGCCCACAGTAGCGTATCCCTCGAGTGCAGACAGAGGAAACAAGACATTCATTCACCTGTAAGGATTTCACAATGCCTTATTTAAAACATGAGAGAGTGAGAGAGAGAGAGAGAGAGAGAGAGCAAACAGGAGTTACATACATCCAGAGCTGTTGAATCACCATTGGAGACATCTTTAGGCTTCTTAGACAGGTACCGTCTAATGTCACCATATGTGAGAATCCCCTCCAGAAAGTCATCTTCATCAACAACAAGCACACAATTCTGATGGCTGTCATGCATGCATTTCATTGCTTCTTTTAAAGTAACAGCCATTGACACCTTTACATACTTTTTTGACATGGCCCTAGAAACCTAACAACAAGCAAAGACGCAGATTTCATCAAGTAAAAACGGGTATAAGGGAAATACGCTACATGCTAACTGATGAGAAGCTCAAAAAAAACTTGACCATTTAGAAAATCTTTTCTGAAACAAAAGGAGGAAATTATACCCTAAGATCTTCAAGTAGCGTATCTTCATCTACAACTTCATTGTCAGCAGCCTTTTCTATTACAGAGAGTTCCTCAGCAGCAGAAATGGAAGAATATCCTCTTGCTTCATTCCTTGTATCAGATACTTCAGGCTCCTTGTTCTGGTTAGTCACAGAAGGAACCCATATGGCTAATCCAACAGCCCCCTATTTGCCAAAATGACAAAGAAGAAAAACATTATCAAAGTTAAGAAAATGGAGATGTTTAGACAATGTCCCATCGCATAAAGAATTACCATGAGAGGAAGTAATATCCTGTAATCTTTTGTCAGCTCAAAGAGAAGCAGAACTGAAGTTAGGGGTACTGAACAAACTGAAGCTAATGTGGCAGCCATTCCAACCTAAAGTAGAAGCTTGAATGAATTAAAATCAGCTAATTACATAAAATTGAACATATTTTACCAAGTTTGAGAGATGTGTGGGCGGTAACTCCCCATGAAAAATTTACCAGTGCATATGCTTGTGGCTGTGCAACGGCAGCATTTCCTGGAATAGCTGAATTAATAAGTTCAGCAGCTGAACCTCCAAACACAGCACCAACAGCAGCACCAATCATCAAACTTGGTGCATAAAGGCCACCTACAAGCCCAGACCCCTTACACAAAGCAGTGGCTACAACTTTGGCTGCTGCTAGCTGGGCTAGCAACCAAATTCCAGGAGCTGATGCCGTCTTCCCAGTATGTAGGATTTCATTGACATTTGTAAAGCCCCAATATAGTACTCCAGGATACTTAAGAGCTATTATTCCTGCTCCTAAACCACCTAAAGCAGGACAGATTACAGCAGGAAGTCCAAATTTCTCCTTGATGAACTCAAACACCTTTGTGAACCAAGAAACCAAGCGAGTGAACACTACACTTACAACACCACATAGCATTCCCAAAATCAGGTACAAAGGTAGCTCTGCAAGACAAAATCAAATAAAAATTGTAAGTATCACCACTTTTTCCCTTATATGCAATCATTCCTAATTGTATCTTAGCATGAAGTGTGATACATGAAGCTTGTTTGACCTATTCAGGTAGAAAAGCCAAACCCCTAGGAGTGCATGCCATTGGAAATAAAAATACATACTGAATTCACAGACTATGCTGGGTGCTCACTGTCAAATATTTGTAAGGCAAATGTGCCCTCTATATGCTTTAATTTTCTAAACAGAAAAGGGGAGGTCAAGCTATCAAAACATAAAATTGGGAGGACATGCTATCAAAACATAAAATTGATGAAATTGCTAATCATAGATACAAGAAGCACAGTTTAATTCCAGATCAATAGAGCAGCAAATTCATCAATCTCCTCATTAAACAACGAATTACTTTTGGAATAAATATCAGAAGCTGTAATCACACAGAGAAACGTACACAAATACATACAAGCATCAAAGCTGCAATCTGAAAATAAAAAGAAATTCATTACAAGAAGTTAAATACCAGAAGCGGATTTCAAATCATATGATGGCACAGTGAAAGCTGATTCTGTCCCAAGTAAGGCATTTGATACGGTAGACGAGATAACAGAGGCCAAAATTATCATCGCTGTTGTAAATGGAGGTGAGTTTTCAGCACGGAGAGGTCTTACCACAGTTTCAATAGCAAAGAAGCAACCGGCAACAGCAGCATTAAAACCTGAAAAGATGAGAGAGAAGTTGAAAGATAAAAACCAACCAATTCATCAATCAATTTGAAAATGATACAATACATAGCCCCTAGATGAAATCAATAGATCAAGAAGGTAACTTTAAAAGCTTATGCCAATCAAAGCCACAACTACAAATGAAAGTAAGTCTCCAAGTGTTTGGTTTAGCATGCTCAATCAGTGTACCTGAAGCAATCCCAGTCGCTGCTCCAGCTGCCACAAGAGCAATCTTCCTTTCTCTGTTGTTTTCCATCATTAATGAGAATCCATTGGCAAATGATTTTCCAATATCTACACTGGGGCCTTCAGTACCCAAAGAACAACCAGTACCTAAAGTTACGGCAGCCTGGATAGCCTTTATTGTGGGGAAGACCCCAGCAACCAAATCGACACCTTGTTGTTGAGAAGAACTGGATTGCCTTATTTGGTTCATTATGTCAAGTAAACCATGCATCATTCCAACAATGACCCCACCGGTGACTGGAATCAAAAGAATTCGATGCCAAGTGTCAGCCAGTCTCTGTAAACGAAGCCATGCAGCACCCTCAACTGGAGTCCCAGCCCATGCCCATTCATGTATGACGTGAACCTGAATGAGAAATAGCAAACATCATAGATGAGCACAAAACCTGAAGCAATATTGAACAAGAGAAACATTTATCATGTCTGGACTAGGCTACTTTGCCAAATACTATACTATTAAGCTACAATAATAACCTGACGAGGAAGCAGTTTACACTAGCACAGACAAGGAGAAAAGGAACAAGGAAGTCCACATCCGCTGAGAAAAGGAGAGCAAAGTTTTGATTCAAGAAATGAAGACGCATGGTGGAAACTGTGTTACCAATATGCTACTTGATGGACCATTTGTAAAAGAAATATGCGAGATAATTGAAGAAATACAGCAGTGGGAGGATGGACCATATATGAAATGAATAATTGTCCAGAAGCCTATATCAAAGTTGTAAGGGAGGACATAGTAAGTTTTAGCAAAAGTTGAAAATTTGTGTCTTGATTGGGTGTTAGAGAAACGAAACATCAATTAATGTTAAAAAAGTTGAGAGTTTTATTAATTAATAATTTGGTAATAAAGGAAAGAAAAGAAAACGTAGGAAGGGCAGAGGAGAATCTTACAGAAAAAGGAATGGGTATTCGTAGGATGATGGTGGAACAAAAATGCAAACTTGAACAGTAATGAATTAAGCCCTTCTGAGAGCAAATTAAAGCCATTAATTGAAGAGTTGAGAGATCTCAGAATCATAAAAGTGACAATGCAACAGATATAGCAATGTTGAAACGAAAAAGAAAAGCCTACTCCTTTGTTGAAGGCAGCCACAAAGAGACCGGAGGCGACTCCAAGCAAGCAACTGATAAGCAGCAAGGCCCATTCGGGAGGGGCGCTATCTCCCAGCGCATCAGCGGCATCCATAACGTAAGCATGGTGGTTGTGGTGATGATCTATGGAGGACGGTGAGGAGCGGTCTCTGTCTCTATCGAGTCGTTTGAAGCTGATGCGCCTGGCGGAGAAGCCCCTGTCCAAATGCTTGAACAGATCTTTAAAGGCGTTGTTGTGGTTGTTGCTCATCTGAGATTCCAAGTCGTCGTCATCATCGTCATCTTCATCCTTACGGCTGTTGGATCTCAGCAGATGCCTCTGATCGCTGTATTCTCCTGCCCCCGTCATTTCCTCAATTCTTTCAATCAGTATTTCCTATCCATTCCAAATCCCAACCCTTTTAAATAAACGTCGAATTAGTATTCCCCAACATAATAATATGTTTTGTTTCGCTGAGATCACAAGCAATGCTGAAAACCAGAGTTTTTTAACATTTTATTGCGAGCCGAGCCGAGCCTTGCCTTCTGCCTCTTCCCTTCCATGGAATTCTTCCAAGTCCAACAATCAATACGCGCCGTTTGGCTCCCCACTCGCTCCTCGCTCCTCCATAAAGACAAAACATGTATATCCCAGACCCAACTTGTAAAACGTTGCACGCCGACGTGCTTGGAAATAGGAATGGAATGCTTGGTCAAACAAAAAGCACAGTCACCGCTCACCTCACAGAGTCACACCTTCACCTTGCTCAATTCCTGTCTTGTTGCTTTTACTGTCTGCTATTCTAGAGCAACCTTACCCTTACTCCTGTCCTTAGGTGAAAAAAAATGCAAGCTTTCTATTTACGCATGCCATGAAGTTTAGAAAAGGAAAATACTAGCAATAGTAAGCAGTAACGTGGTCATTGGGTAAAGCATGGTTGACTGCTCCATGTCCTTCTTTCCTAACCTTCCTCACTGGAAAGAAGAAGGGATTCATTTCTCTGAATTGATTGGGAAATGGAATCCGTGTGCACTTGAATTGATATGGAAATACTGCCTACCGTATTTGTTACAAAAGTAAAGATCCCTCATTTGATAGAAAAGGAAAGAATAAAAGCCTACACAGGCGCGTGCTTACGCAACACAAGCATTGACGTGTGGTTCTCTTCCAAGTCTCAACTCATCCACAGAATGAGAGGGCAAAATTCGTAGGCAAACAAAAGAAGAGAAAAACCTCAACTTTGACACATACCAAAACCAAAGATCAAAGGAGACCATAGGAGGAAATTTTTGGCCTAGAGAAACAACTACGAAACAGAGAAAACAACACCACCGTCGGAATTTGAGTTGATTTCCAAATTAAAGGAACCCGTTTGATGGATGGATTTTTTTTTTGTTGATGGCGATCGGATGAGGTTCTAATACTTGTTGGATCTGAAACCCTGAAACTAGAGCAGAACCAGGTGGGCGATCTTCTTCTTCATCCAAACACAGACGTCATCCAGTAAAAAGGTTAGATCTTTGCTGCTTCCTGCAACCAAGATTCCACCTGTGACTATCATCTCTCCAGTTCTGGGATTCCCTACAATACAAAATTGTTCTCCTTTTCCACTTAACAAGCTGATTATTTATATAGGTCTTGCTCGTCATTTCTCGCTACCCGCTACCCTTTCAGCTCAGCCCAATACTGTTTTGTTTTCCTCTTTCGTGGGATTCTCTTTTGTTTTATATCTCTAGCTAAAAATTGAAAAAAGATACAAGGAGATACGGGAAAGATTTAATTTTGTAGACACCTAGATGGATATTACAATTTTCTTGGTGGTTGGTAATATTTAAGTCGTTTTGTTCTGACTTCCGAGCAACAAGCCGATAACAAAGCCCGGAATTCTTCTAAATTCCCGTCTTGGTTCTTCTTTGCCTTTTCCCCTTATATACAATCCCTCTTTAAGCTTAAAGCTCTTACTATTTTGGGTTTTACTTGATTTCCGGGAGTGCACTGTGTTTGTGTAGATATTTACTCACCTGCAAACATGCATGCTAGGCATAGAAGTCCTGGCAATGGCTATAGGTCTAGTTCTATGGGGATGGGGCTTGCCGCTTCCCGGATATCCCCTGAAACTTCGGGTAGAGGCCATGGCTTTTACAATTCAGAGTACCGCAACTTCAAGCGTGGCTTTGGGCGTGGCCAGAGCCACCCAAAATCCTTTCAACCACATCCGCCCACACCACGCAAAGGCACTGACATATTTATGGAAGCAGGCCGGCTTGCTGCGGAATACTTAGTCTCGCAGGGATTGTTGCCCTCTAGTGTGCTACCTGCCAAATGGCAGAATGGTAGTTTGAAGAAGCAGATGGGTGATTATCAGGATTATAGATCACCAGAGGGTGATAACTTGCACCTTCCACCAGATGGCCGAACGTCAGCCCTTGCTCGCCTGGGAAATGCTACCTCTGATTTGGGATTAGGCAGGAGGAGGTACCTTGATGATTATAACCCAACAGGGTCGAGAAATCTTTCTAAAGGAAGAAGGAAGGAGGGATCTTATCGAAGTCATAGCTCCGATTGGGGTCGAGAATATGGGAGAAGTGGGTCATGGCCAGATAGAATTAGGGGTTCTCCCGATATGGAAATTGATGATGATAATGTTTCTGGACATCATGAAGAGCCACAAGTTGGTAATGGATTGCAGAAGCCTGTTTCAAGCGAGTTTGCACCAAAAAGTGAGGAATTAGATTACTCAGAATTTGATGATAAGTACAACCTACAGGATGAAGTGGGCTCAAAGGCAAGTTCCTCTAGTGCTGGGAAAGATCTAAAGTTGGAGACTGATGGCGAACTCCTGAAGAGTTCTGATGATTCTACAAATTTTAGCACAGAGGCTGGAGAGCTGAAGGATGGCAGCAATAATGACGAAACTGAGAAGGAGGGTACCGTGAAGAATTTACCCTACCAGTATTCTTCTACAGAAGATGATCCCTCAGGCAAGACTAGTGCTGATTTACTGGCACTCTGCAAATTTGCCAAGGTGCCTACCAAAACGCGTTCTTCCTTGACATTGAAGAACTTAAAGACTGACTCAGTTTCATATAATGAACAGGAAAGCGTTTCTGATATGGGGGCTCCCAGTGGTCCTCAAAATGCCCTGATTGAAGAAAATTCTCTGGGAGGTTCCTCTGGTGATATGCTAATAAATAAAAGTCAGGACACAAAATGCCCTGATTCTGAACTTTCTAAAGACTTGTCTGTTCATTCCTTTGGGGATGGAGGGGACTTGGATCGCATCTATGGTGTTGAGCAGGGTAAGTGTACAAGGTCTCAATCTTTCCCTGATAGAGCCCTTTTGCATGACAGTGAGCAGGAATTGGTTGAGGGGATGCTTGGTCTCCAAAGATCCAGCTCTATGGTTGTGGTTAAAGAGAGAGGTGAAAAACGAGGTTTGGAGCAACGGGGCTTGATGGAGGGAGCCAAAAAACCAAGAGAATGGCTTCAGCCCTTGGCTACCAAGGCTGAGTTCTTGTCCTTTTCTGATTTTGGTGATAAGAAAGGAGGTTCACTGGAAGGGACAGCTTCATCTTCTGAGAAAGTTGGTGTGACTGATAATCAAGAGATCCAAGACAGCTTGGTTAGTAATACTCAATTTCCAGATGGAGATGGTGAATCAAGTGTCAATTATGCACAAGAAAAGCAGCTTTTTCCAAATGCATTCAAGATCTGTGACCTTAATCTGATGGAAGCTTCTGATATAAATGAAAATCATCATAATGATCCAATTATTATGTACTCTACTCCTTCAGAGACCAAGAATGAAGCAGCAACCATTGATATAGATTTGTCAATGAGTAATTCCAACAATTCTGGTGGAGGAAATAGGCATACAAGTAACTGTAAGGAGATTGAAGTAATTGATCTAGAGAATGATTCTACCCATGAAGACAAGGCTGTTGATAATTTGGAGAGGAAGTAAGTTTCTTTTATTAGCATGTGATATCCATCATTCTCCTCATCTCAGCTTCTCCTGTATACAAATAGTAATGAAATAATCTTCGAAACTGGGTTTTCTGTTTGTTTCCTCCTTTGTATAAAGTGCGAAGTGCCTCATGTTGCAGCTAATTCCTATAGGCCCCCGTCTTCATCTTGAATTTGACTTCTTTATCATGCAGGAGTGAACCAATTTTTGTGAGCATGAATGGTGATATGACTGATGTTTCGGATCATTATGATGGGCTTATGATCACAGAGTTCCTCGGAAATATTTCCAGTTGCCCTTCAGATGATATCAATCCTCATCCCATGCAAAATGAAAACATTAACCCTCTGCAGACTGAGAACATCAATCCTCTGCAGAATGAGATGGGCCTTCATAATGGAGAGGTACAACAGTAATTGCTGTGAGTAGGATGTCCGTTCTGTATAAAACTCTATGCGTTATATGCATCTGGAATCTTGATACTTACTAGTCTTAATGTTAGTGAAAATTTTGGGTTTTCCTAGAAGTTAAGTTTCTTAAAACATGATATTGCAGTGGTTATTATTATTTTTTATAAAGCTATACTAATGCATTTTAGTTGAACATTATAAGGTTTTTCTTGATGAGTAATTTTTTGTATTTTATTTATTTATTTCAGGGAACTCTTGGGTTTGACGACTCCATATATATGTCACTGGGAGAAATACCATTAAGTATGCCTCCTGTTTAATTTCATGGTTTGCTTTCTTGTAGTTCTAGTCTGTAGTTGATCTGTCTGATATGGTATTTGGCTGGACTTTTAATGAATACATTGCACATTCATGCATCAAATGAATACTGTGGAAACATGATTTATGTTTAACAGCTGCTGTAGAGGAAAGAAATGGAAGTGCAAGGAAACTGCCTTCTTTTTTAAGCATTTTAAGAGAATTCAGAGAATTTACTTTAATTTAAGTTTTCTTCTTTTGACTGCCACAGCTTTATATACTGCATTTGGTAGGAGGGAAAAAATTGGTATTTTGCCACCGTGTTAGCCCAAGTTGACATCATCCTGACAGAGAACACATGTTGAAAGTAATCAAATGGTGTTTGCTAAATATATAGTGCTAAATATACTTAGCTCCTGCAATTACAAATAAATTGCTTGCAGAACTGCCTGGTGGGAGCTAAAGAATGCATTAAGGAACATATCTTTTTGTGTTTATGAATTGAAAGAATTATCATCCAGCAACAATAAGGATTATGAAACTTCTTGCATGTGTAAGCAAGTGGCCTAGATAGTTTATTTGGCAGTTCTTGATAGAAAAGATTAGAAAGAATAAGCTGAACACTTGTACAACTGGGTATTATCTAGTTCAGGTTCAACGCCATTGGGCCAAAAGACTTTTCCTTGATTTTCTTTCCCTTGGGACTTTTTTACCCCTTATGATAGTACAAAAATTTATGCTTCAATTTACCTTTCTTAATTCTGTATTGTATTTTAATATAACACCTACTGCTAGGATCTTACTTATTACTGGTGAAAATAAGTTAAAATATCTGGATACATAATGCTTTTGCTCATCTAATTAAATATTGTTCTGCTATGAATTCTTTTTCCTTCCTTTCCAACCCATTTATTTATCTACCCTAAGAATCCTTTGATGATTTCTTACAGGCTTTTTGCCAGCCTGGGAGCAACCACCAGCACAGGAGTACGAAAAGCCCTTCTGATTCTACAATTGCTCTAAATTTGTGACAAAATACTGCTCAGAATGTTAACATTAGTCACTGAGGTTCTTTTCATTATCGTTAGTTCCATCTTTTGATTTAGTTTAGGTTTGCCAATGAATTATGCTTGTATATCTCTGCTGCTGATAGGAATTTGAGAGATGGTGAATGCTTTTCTTTCATTTGGCTGCTTCCAGTCATCATTACGTGAAAGAAAATTCATCATGTTGGTTTCTAAAGTATCTTACTTGTACTCCTTTGCTTGAACTGGTCTGAGCTCTAGAGTGACATCAAGCAAGCGACTAAAGTTCTATTTAGTTGAGGATGCTGCAGATTGAAATAATTTTGAGAGGGTAGTAGTATGACATCTCACTTGTCGGAGCCCTCTGAATGATGGATTCATGGCAAGTGCTACTATGCTTTGATGGGCAGTGATAATTAAATGTTGATTCAATATATTCTGGGCTGTTTAGACAGGAAAATTTGAAGGTTTTGGACTCTAGCGCTTGAGAGGGTATTTGATGCAATATGTGTAACAGTGCATAAAAGAGAAATAATATTATCAGAAGCTGGATTTAAGAGAGTCCAGAAACATTCATTGAATATGTTTTTCAATTTGGAGAAGCACGTTAAGCTTGAGATACCAAATGCAAGAAGCAGAGACAGGAGGATCGTCAGTCCACTGACAGTCTGAGTTGATGTTCTTTTTGACAAAAAGGGCTCCTTGGAATAGGAGGTCGGCTCATTCTCCATTCACACCATTTTCACCCATAACGTGTGCGTGAGTAGAGAAATAAATAATTGCTTTATAACATTTAGTAAATGACATCCATTGTTACTCTGCCCCTCTTTTATCAGTGTAGTTGCCCTCGAGGGAATGAATAAAGTTGCAGAGAATGGGTGGTGCAGCAAACTTGTTACTCTTCCATGACCGTGAATCAAGCACGCTTTAAGGCGAGAGGAGCTGTCACTACTCACTAACAACTATGCTACGCTTGATGCTTCAGGAAACCATGGTTTTGCTTTCTGAGATAACAAAACACAATGTAAAGGGTGAGTGATGATGATGGTGGGGCTGGATAATTAGGGGGTGGGGCGTTGAAACTGGGAACACAGAGAGGTTACATGTCCTTGTCATACGCGCAAATGCAATGCTAATTTGCACATATTTGGAGTTTCTTTCATGGGAAATTAACTGCACCAGCGGCGCAAGCGGAGGGGGAGGGAGGGTTGTGTACGTACAAGCATGACTGGAATTGGCAAAAATACGTAATAAATGAGTTGGAAGGGACCCGATTGAGGTAGACGTAGACATCAAACTGTCACATTCCTTTCAACGCCCATCTTGATCCCTGTGTGGTGCTGTGCTGTGCCCGATCCCGTTGTCTAGGTGAGTCGTAAGTTGCGCAACAAACAAAACCAATACTAAGAGCAAATCATCCTTAGATAAGATTGAGATTTAGATTAGACTCATAGATATTCTTTTATGCTAAGTTGCATGTCTAAGTCTAACACTCGTTATTACTACCTACGTAGCCTGTTCCTGCCTTTTAATTCCATTATATGACCAAACACCTCCATATGTGGTATGGTAGGTCGGAACAAATTACGCAGGATTCAGTTTATGGTAAAATTGTTAGGCCAATGAATGCTAAGTGTTAATTAATTAATTAATGATGCGCATAGTGTCTGTCTATTATCGCTATTAGCTAACGTACACAACCCAATGTGCTCAACTCAACCCAACAAGCAAACAATCACCATTTATTTTAGTTATTGTTCTGCCAAGTCCAACCACATTTTGAGCTTTTTACTTTGATCATCCCACCCTTTTTTGTTCCTCATTAAAATACTATATATTAATTTTATTTGCCTGCCAAATAACCAAAATCACAGAGAGAGAGAGCAGTGGCAGCGGAAGTGTAGTGTAGGGGTGAATCTTTGTCTTCCCCATAAAATGTAATTACGGAACATCAAATTAGATTAAACGACTTAGTAAGTCAAAAAACACAGGTTTTCTATGCAGTAATAATCGGATAGGGATTACTTTAATGACTATGTATTGATTTAATTTGTCAAAACCCAAAAAGAAAACCGTGTTGATCCTCCCTTCAACCTTCAAAGCATATAATAGTCTTACCGTTGAAGGCATTTTAATATATGGTAAAGTACGTACTCAGTATGAAAGCATTGAAGTTGAAGAAAGTTTTACAAAGTACAAGCAGGCTCGTATTTACAGTACGTAGCCCGACCTTGAGAAATATACTCCATTAATAAAATGCTACTAATTGGATTGCGTTTTACAGTTTCAGATTGCTTCGAGAACAGGGATTATCAAAAGTTTGAGAAGGATACAAGAAAATAAAATATCATTTCCTGTACAAATGCATGCATGGGAAAAGATCACCGGGAATGGGATCATCATCATCTTCACATCACATCTATATCTATCTTTGTTTGGTATCGTATGGATGCATGAATATTTCCGGAAACAAGCTTCTCTTCTCTTTAATTGCTTCTTCCTTTTGCTCAAAGCTGGCTTTCAGGATATTTATTATTATTGTTATTATTATTATTACTTTTAAAAATTGCAGTAAAGAAGGAGAAGAAAAAGATTCAAATTTGGACACAAGACATCAAAGGCAATGCCTTGGTACATGCCCTGTTAGGGAAGATAGAAGGATACTGGAGGAGAGGAGGCACGGGGAAGAGAGAATCGAAGTCGAAAAATTTTCAGTAGTACACTTGGTTTTCACAATCCTACTGCA